CCTTTTTATAGTTTTGGCGGGTTTCATTATGCTATTCCCACATATAGATACAAGTTACTACATTCATAGTCATCCCCTCCCCCTCTCCTTTCCGCTCCAGCTTGCTCCTCACCAACAGTCTCACATTTATAAATGTACATGTCATAACTGCCTTTTGAACATAGCTTGTCTTGTTCAACACAATGATCTCTTGTTAGTCCTACCCATTTTCCTGTTAATGCAATAATTTTATTCTCTTTTATGGTGGAATAATACTCTGTTGTGTACCTGCTCTAAGTTTTATTTTTAATGCATTAATCTACTGATGGGACATTGGCTGATTACATAGCATGGTTATTGTGAATAATGCTGTTCTAGATATGAGTGTCTAGGTATCTCTATTTTATCCTGACATTCCTTTGGACATATACTCTATTTTTAGTGTTTTTGAAGACATTCTGTACTGACTTCCATAGAGGCTGGAGTAATTTACATCTCTACCAACAATGTATAGTTTTTTTTTCTCCCTACATTCTCATCAGCATTTATTGTTGTTTGTTGCCATCTTCTCTTCTGTATCTTCTCTCTCTGGATTTGAACTTAATGCCTTCCACTCACCCAGCTTGCTTGCTTGATGGTGCTGCATCACTTGAGCTTTGCTTCCAATCCATCTTTTGGCTGATTAATTAGAGATAGGATCTGTTGGATTTTTCTGTCTAGGCTGGCCACAAATCATAATCCTCCAGATTTTAGCCTCCTGAACCATAAGCAACTGGCTCCCAGCCTGTCATTGTGTTTTGATGATAAGCTGTTTTGACTAGAATGATATACTTTTTAACTGTATTTTTTTTGTCTTTTCTTTTTTGGTACTGGGGATCGAACCCAGGACGTTACACTTGCTAGACAAGCGCTTTGCCAGTGAGCTACATCCCAGCCCTAGAATGATATATTTTTGAGATAAGGTTCTATTAAGTTTTTCCAGGCTGACTTTAAAGTCATTATCCACCTATGTTTGCTTGCTGAGTAGCTGAGATTACAGGTATACAACACCACAACAGTATAAGTGTGTTTCTTAAACTATGTTAGCTATGTTTCTTTTGCTTTCATTCATTTTATTTCTTAAGGGATCACAAATGGTCTAGCCCTTAGCCATCTAGAGGCAGAAGTGATAGAGTAATTTCAGTTTTCAATACTTGAATTTACCTGAACCTTGCATTGCCAGGGAAGAAAAGATCTTGACAAGTCATCTTACACATTTCCTTCTAATTCATACTGCCTCTTGACCAATCTAAATAGATCCATTCTATTTTTAGTGTATTCCTAGCAATAGACTCTGTACTGCTTCTCAGTTATTCATTTTCAGTATAAAAATGTCCTCACAACTAAGATATATTACCTTCTATGGAACATAAATAATTCTGATGGCAATGACTCATAGTTCCCAAGCCAAACCAACTAGAGGGTGAAATCTTTGCACAAAAGAGTAATAAAACAGTATGTCTCCACATCTGTTCCCACAATATTAAGGAATTCCAGCCTTACTCAAGATCCTATGAAATAGTTCTCAGGAAATTTCCTCTGTTTTCTGTAAATCAGTCCTTCTAGCTTTGAAGCAGAATTGGCCATGTCCTTTCATTGTAGGTCTGCTTTCTTACTGCAATGGCTGGTCAAGGTGGAGAAACACAGCTCTCTCCCACATGGCAAGTGCTATATCTTCAAACAGGCTGAAATCTGATGACTCTCAAACATCTTAGTAGAGTATTGTTTGCAGCATTTCCTTGTTCTTGTGTTGGTAGCATCTATTGCCTAGAGTTTAGGATTGGATCTGGGACTTGTCTCAGAATAGGAGCAGTAACAGGGATTTTTGAGTGACAGGGCATTGTATTTTGAGTGACAGACATGGTCAATGTCTTTGAGTTGCTCTTTACCTTTGACAAGGTTTAATTATAACTTGGGCCATCTTTTATCCATTGGATCAGTATTCATTCAATAAATTCTTCCCCAAGAGTATTCTTGGTTCTTACTCTCTCCCCTTGATGAGGTAGCTCATCCTTGCTCAGACAAACTCAGGGTGTCTAGGTTATGAAGTTAATAACCCTGGGTCAAGCCAGAATTCTCATGATATATATTCTTTGATAAATAAGCAGTCCTCCCTCAGTGAAGAACCTTGTTAGATACTGGTATTTGAAGACTCATAGCTATAGGTTCCTGACCTTTGTTAAACTCTGCCTTTATGAGGCTGTTACACTCTTTTCCACTTATATCCTATAACTTCAACAAATCTGTGAAAGCACAGTTCATACAATTGATCTGTTCTTTAGAATCATACCAAAGAAGTAACTACTCCAGGCTTAGACCCATATTAGGGACTCTGGGTGTCTGTCTATAACCAGATGTCTATGGATGTCTCTGGCAGTCACCCAGTAAAGTGCCTGATAATGCTCAATATAGATTTATGTAGTTGAGCTGAGTATCTTGGCTTCAGTCACCTTCACACTTGACTTTGTGTCGACTTCTTCCTCTTCTTCCTCTTCGTCCTCTTCTTCTTCTTTTGGGTCTGGTCGTGGGGCCTGAACTCTGGGCCTGGGCGCTGTCCCTCAGTTCTTCAGCTCAAGGCTAATGCTCTACCACTTGAGCCACAGCGCCACTTCTGGCTTTTTTTCCTTTTTGCTTATGTGGTGCTGAAGAATCGAACCCAGGGCCTCATGCATGCAAGGCAAGCGTTCTACCACTGAGCCACCTTCCCAGCCCTGACTTTGTGACTTCTATTTGAAGGTTTTTCTCTGTCCTGTTTTCTCTTTGTAAACTGACTGGAGATCTAGTTTTCTACCTCTTTGGTTTTGTTTTCAGTCTTTGTCTCTGTGGCTGCTCTCTGAAGATCCTCTTCATTCTTTTTGTCCTCTTCCATCTCTGTGCAGTACACACCCCAAGCTGCTTGACTCTCAGAGGTGCTGGATTCTCAAGCCTTTCAGATACTTACCACTGACATTGGATCTTAATTTCATGGCCACTCTTGTTAGTAGCTTCTTTGCCTCTGTTTCCCTTGTGAAACATCTCATGCTCCCAAATTACTGTGGTGAGAAGGGTGGATCTCTCTTTCTCTGTGGCTCCACTTCTCTCCCTGCTCATCTTGAAGGCTATATAATCCCTGATCAAGTATAAACAGAGGAGAGTTGGGGATAGATCAGAACAAAGAGGTCTCTTTTAGGGTGAGATGAGCTCTCAAAGTCAGGCTAGACTTTCTTAGCTCAACTTTTGACATCTGCCTTCCTCCATGGATCTGTTGCCCTTGAGTAGTTTCTTACCCTGCACTCCATACACTCACAGAGAATCTGTGCTCTGTCATGAGTGAGCCAGGCTCAGAAGGGTTAAGGCTGTTGTGTATATATACCACATTTTCTTGATCCATTCATCTACTGAGGGGCATCTGTGTTGGTTCCATATCTTAGCTATGGTAAATAATGCTGCCATAGGGGCTGGGAAGGTGGCTCAGTAGTAGAGCGCTTGCCTTGCATGCCTGAGGCCCTGGGTTCAATTCCTCAGCACCACATAAACAAAAAGAAAAAAGCCGGAAGTGATGCTGTGGCTCAAGTGGTAGAACGCTAGCCTTGAGCTGAAGAGCTGGGGAATAGCACCCAGACCCAGAGTTCAGGCCCCATGACCGGAACCAAAAAAAAAAATAATGCTGCAATAAACATAGTTGTGCTGGTAGCTTTAGTATGGTCTTGTTTGTGATCATTTGGGGAGTGGAGAGGGGAAGAGATGTATGGGGAAACAAAAGAGGAGGCAACAATGCTTGATAAAAAATGTACTCATCTTGCCCATGTAATTGTAACCCCTCTGTATGGTATTTTCACAGTAATAATAAAAAAAGAAAAAAAAGAAGGGTTAAGGCTGGTGCCTGGATGGATGGAGAAGATTATTAGTTATCACCTAGAGAGCCTAGCAAGGTGTCTTCCCCTGTCCCTACACACTGCTGTCACATGATCTTTACCTCGGCTGCAGGAAAGAAGAACACAAAGAAGAAAGAGAGAAAAACAAGAAAGAGAAGAGGAGAAGGAAGAGGAAGAAGAGAAAGAAGTGGAAGGCGGGGGAGGAAGAGGAATAGGAAGGAGGAGGAGGAGAAGAAGAAGGAGGAGGAAGAGGAGGAGGAGGAGGAAGAGAAGTGGAGGAGGAGGAGGAGGAGAGGAGGAGGAGGAGGAGAAGAAGGAGGAGGAGGAGAAAAGTGGAGGAGGAGGAGGACAAGGAGAGGAGGAGGAGGAGGAGGAGGAGAGGAAGTGTACAAAATAAATTATAAAGTCCTTGTAAATGCTTATGTTTTCATTTAACAGCTATGAATCCAGGACAAAAACGGACCTTGGTGACAGCAGCCAACTGAGAATTGAGTGGGGAGAAAGAGGAAAAAAAAAAGCTTAAAAAAAACCCTCCTGAAAACCTGGACTCTGGAATCATCTAGATTTTTTTTTTTTTTTTTTGGTAGAGGAGACGGGGAAGGATTGAATCAAGTCTTTCTGAGCAGGGTTCAGCATTGAGCTCTCATGGCCCAAACACTAAAGATTCTCTTTAGGCATGTGATCTCAGCGATCCCGGACCCTTCAACTGGAAGAAACTCCAAACTTGAAGTCGTGCTTAGAGATCCAGCTCAAGTAAGGAAAATGAGGTGGTGGGGAGGAGGGGCGCCCCAGGATGGGGATCAAGTCTTAGATGGCACAGGAGGGCGCTGGGATGTGCGTGGGTGGGGATAAGGCGGAAGGGAGCTACGTGTTTAAGTCTGTTCTATGGTTTTACATATTTTTTGTTCTATGAATGGGTTTTGCTGCAAATTATAGCTTTGCCCATGGTCCCTTGGGTCAAAAGAAATAGTCTCTAAACAGAAAACAGCTCTGATTGGTGACTTGCCTTCTTCCCTCCCCAACCCCCTTCCTAATTGAAACCAAATGTGCAATATATTGGATGCTGGGATCCCTGGCGCTTTCCCAGGAATCCTCAGAATGTGAGGTTCCTCTCAAAGGCATCTTGCATCAGCCTGTGGATGTATGCCTAGCACACCGGCAGAGGGGAACAAGAAGCGTCTCCCAGCTGATTCTTCTTTTGGGGTTGGGGTGGGGGGCGCAGTGGATTATAACTCTTGTTTTCTTCTTTCCCAAACTGTGCACCCCCTGGATGAAAGTAAGTGATGTGGATCTTTTTGTTCCCCCTTTTGTTTCTTTTCCTTTTTCGAAAATGAAAGTTCTGAATGTACTTCTCTCAGAAAGAGTGATCTCAGGAAAAGTTTTTTGAATCAGAAGAGGGGTATTTCAAGCAAGGAAGGGGAAGGAAGGGAGGGGGTGGCAAGACTTGAGAAGTCAGATCTCACATTTCTGGTGGTCTGTTTTTGTGTAATACGGGGCGAAGGGGCGTGTGGCGCGGGGGAGACAACAAATAAAGAGCGCTAATGACCCAAGAAGGCCGAAGTAAAGTAGCTGGAGACAGAAGCTGCTGCAAGACACAGCAGCTTTAGCAATGTTAGAGCAGTTGGAAATGTTGGCAGACCAGACAGGCCGATTGCAGAGTCAGGCTTAGGGTGGAGGGCAGCAAAGCTTGGAGCTGAGTGTTGGGGCATTTAGTGGTGGTGTTTCAGGGTCCTGGGTTTTGGAGATCAGATACCCAGTGCATTTTGTGTTTGGGGGCAGTTACTGATATAATTGTGACAGGGACAGTTTTAACTAGGGGTGGCTTCACTGCGAGGTTTGGGCGGCTGGGAAAGGAGGCCGGCTGTGTGGAGGATTTTCACTTAGTGAACACGAAATACAACTTCTTAGACTTCTGGCTTTGCTGCCGTGGGATGCCTTTTCCTTTGTTACTCAGTGATTTGTGACTGATTTCCGTTGAGACCTTTGAGTCCAGGTCGAGGTTCTAGATCTAGTTTGATCCAAGAGGAAAGAAAGTTTTCCTGTGACCCCCCCAAACTCTCAGGCCAGCCATTTGAGGAGAGAGTTCATGTTTCTCAAGTCAGTCCCGGGCCTCAGCACCATTTCGCTGTTTTCGTTAGGCATCTTTTCCTTGGAGCAGCAGAGTCCTGAAAAGGAACTCATTTGATCCTCTCTCTTTTAATAGCTGCCAACACTGAGAGGAAGGAGGACTGACGTATTCATGGGCTCAGAGAACATTGAAAATGGAGTTAAAAATGATCAAGATTCTTGCTACATGGAATCAGGGCTCTTTCCATTCCATCCGTCTCCTTTCATTTTCCCTTACATGTTTTTATCCTAAATCGAGACAATAGAGGCAGTTGTGCTCATAAATTGCCACAGGGATATTAGTTATCATCAACAGGAAGGATGGCAAAGGTGGTTCATCAGTTAGTGGTGTCTGTGGATGGTTGTATGAGGTTGTCTGTATGTGTTTATGGGGGATCAAAGACGTTTGCATTCTTTCTAGGCCTTAGGCTCCCCGCTTCAAGATTTGCATGTATTACTTGACTGAATCCTTGCAAGTTCTGTAAGGCATTATCTCTAACTAAAGGGGAAGGAGATTAAGGTTTAGAGATGCGAACTGAGTTGCTTAAGAGTATGATATTTGTTTTGTCTTGCTCTCAATTGTGTGCTCTGAATTACTGAATTGTCTCCTCCAACAATACTCTCCCCACTCCCTCTGCACATGTACTGCTTACCTTTAGAGTCAGACTTGATATTTCACTCAGTGACCAGGAGGTAAGGATCTCAGGTTAAGGAAACAGTGTGGATCGCCTCTCTGAGGCCATTAATGCCCTTAGATGAGCTTTTATTTAGATCTTGGATGGGATGTGGGTTAATTTCTACCTATTTAATATATACTTATGTTTGTTTTGCAAAGAGCATGAGATTTAGAGTCTAAAGATCTAGGTTAAATTCTGACTTCATCTTCTACTACTTTCTGCATTTTGCTTTTTATGTTCATTACATGAACAAGAATAGGAATAGCTGGGGTTGAAGTTGTAACTCAATGGGAGAGCACTTGAGTGGCATGTGCAGGCCCTGGGTTTGATCCTCAGCAGTGAGAGACAGAGATGTGGGATGGGGGAACCGGGAGAACACTAGATAGAAATGCATTCTGAAGTCTATGAAAGATCTTAACCATGTCAACCTTAGGATTATGATGACTGAATACCACAACCCAATGTAAGGCATCCTCTAACAGGGTGGATCTGGTAGTTGGCCCTGACCCATGGGAGGGCAGGTGGATTTGGCTGTGTGTGAAACTCCATCATCTCCTTGAATGGAAGCAATTCTCCTAGTAGGGAATATCTCTAGGTTTTCTCTCTGAAAATTGCCTTTGGTTGGCCTGGTTTATCTTGATTCCTCACCCAAAGTAGAAGATGAAAGACACCAGGTCTCTTTAAGCATTGCCTGCATCTGAACTGTCTCCAAACAGGAGCGGTTTAGTCAGGAACAGCCTCCCTACTTTCTCCTCAAAGGAGATTGGCATTTGAGGAGCTTCATATACAGCTGAGGACTTAGGTCTTGACCCAGGAATATCTTGTCATTGTCAGGCACATCTTCCCCATCCTCTGCTTCACGTTTCCATTCTGAGCCTCTGGTCAGAGGGTTACAGCTGCTCCTGGGTGTGTGTGGAAGGCCAGGCTTCAGAAGAGGCTCCACCTCTGTTCTCAGTTAAGATCAATTTCCTTTGTAAACCTCAAAAGTTGGAGGTTTTTGCTTGGAAATTTTAACAATCTTCATATCTTATCTAAGAGCAGAATGGAAGTATCATCCAGAGGAACTTCATCGTTACCCATTTTCCCCAACCTCCCTGTGAACTCTCTTCTTCCAAGACTGGAGTAAGTGATTCTGTATCACATATAACAAATTGAGTTCAAATCTTTCCATTTGATTGCATTTTAATAGACACTAATAAAATTAGAGCAGCCTTCCCATCTACTAGTGCCAGAGCACTGTAAATGAATATTAATGTTCAGATATCTGTTCTCATATTCGCTTACTAGGTGCACTTTACGTTAGCTACACCTCAGACCCAAATACAGGTCCCACAGGCATCCAGAAAGCAAACAGCCATTTAAAAACATGCCTCTGTGACATGCTAATGTCTTGTGCCAGCTCCCATAAATGGTGACCTGTCTGCAGTGCAGACACACTGGATTCTTTATACCTCTATCCCTGTTTGAAACTGCGCAATATATGAATCAACCAACTCTTTCCCTACAATAACTACTCAGTCCAGAAATGTATCCAATATCCCCAGGCATTCCAGGGCTTCTTTCACCAGGAAATTTGGAACCCCAAATAGACCTTAAGGATTTCTGTAGCCATTAAAATATGTCAGGGTAGGGAATGAGAGTTGGTGCTTAAAAGTGCCACTAGGCAATTATAACGTGAACTAGGGATAAGTAACTCTACTGATAAATCTTCACGTGTTGCTTTGGGCATTTAATTATATTTTGTTTGATATTATTCTATTCAGTATGCACTTACTGCTATCTGACTGATATAAGACAGTGTGCACAATAGTTTTTGAATAACATAGTTTAACAAAGAAACTAAGATGTCTAGATACCTTTCCAGGAATATTCACTGTAACACCAACCATCTAATTAGAATTTTGTATTTCTGATTGAACAGAGCTCTGATAGTGCCATGTCTCTAGTCTGCCATCTTGAATTTTCTTTTTTTTTTTATTGTGAAAATACTGTACAGAGGGGTTACAATTACGTGGGTAAGATAATGAATAGATTTCTTATCAAGCATTGTAGCCTCCTCCTTTGTTTCCCCTTCCCATCCCTTCCCCTCCTCTCCCTGCCCAATCCTCCTCCCCCTCCCCCCACCAAAGTTGTAAAGTTTGTTTTTGACATAACAACTTGTATGTCTCATTGTTGCAATGGAGCAGCCATCTAATGATCACCCTGATGAGTTCTCTAAGCTTTTTCTGTCTCACATATTTGCATTATTCATATATGATTTGGATGACCATAACTATCTTATTTTTATTTCCTTTCTAATTTTGCGCTTTCTTCTTTGTTTAACATCTAATTGTTTAATATTATCGAATATCTACAATTCAGAATCCTACCATTGGGAAAATGAGATATTTATTAACTAGCATCTAATTTTGGCCTGTAAACACTGAGTAAAGTCAGCTTTAATATAATCAAGGAGGCTTGGTAGAACAGTGCAGAAAGCTTATTATCAACGGGAAGCTCCTGGGTTTAGTCTGGCTTCTCTTGGAGGCTGGGCATCGTCTGTAATAGACTAACACACTCAGTTGTCTTGTGGCTTGTACTTTGTGCCTGTAGAGACCCCAAATAAATCCTTAAGGAACTCTTTGAATCTCCTTCTCAGCAAATGATCATTGAGTGGTCTTTCTGTCTGCTGTGCAATGGTCTATGGTTTAGTGATCAACAAGAGCAGTGAAGTCATAGACATTTATGATCAGGTTTTTGGAAACAATATGAATTTGGATAGAACTTGACGTGAAAAGTTGTTTCTTGGGTTGAGTTAATACTGCTTTCCTTTTTAACTTTTGCTGAACTATAACTAAAAAAAATTAAAAAAACAGTTCTTCGATGGTGATTATCAGTAGAGCCAGGTGCTGTTAAAAAAAGACCCAAGTTTTTGTTATTCCTAATTTCCTTCTTAAAAATAATACTTTATATTTTAGAGCAGCTTTAGCTTTATAGAAAAAACTGAGAATAGAATAGAATACAGAGTTCTCATATATTTGCTGTATCCTTTACACACAGATCCTCTTAATAACATCTTGCATTGTGTTGTATTTTATTTTTACCAATTACTCAGCATATACTTATTAAATATCTATCTTATATTTCCTGTTATTTGTTTTGGAGGTAGATAAGTATAAATAATATTTATTTTTCTCAAGTTAGTTACAATTTTATATATCTATAGTTTAAAGTCTCTCATTTATTAAAAAAGTTACTGTACATTGAGTCCATGGTTAGCTCAATGCCAGGGCACAATATATCTGGAAATAGTGAGCTGTTATTAAATACCTGCTGAATATATGAAAAATGGAAATAAGAGATCTAGAAATGAATAACAATCTTTGTCCTTAGGAACTTGGAGTAGCAGGTGACAGGAGAAAATTTCAAAAGTAAATAAAATATTATTTTATTCATGAAGGCAACGTCATCAGTGTAGCCAAATAGTTACTCAGCCATTACCAACAATCCCGTC